TAAGCAAATAAAATATTTAATTAAATAATTCAATTAAACATGTAATCAAATAACTACAAAATCTAATAAATAAATCAAATGCAACGAAAAAAAATTTAAAATAATACCGAGACTATCCTTTTAAAATTAGGGGTATTACATTTTCTGTCAACCAATATGTTCACCACTTATTTTTGGTCTGATTTGGCTTTGATAGTAGCACTTCTTAGCCTTGTGTTGATATTGAACTTTCAGCTCATACCGCAACAATATTATCAACACAATGAATACATCATAATCACCATATCTAATGCAGAATATATGCTATGTATGAATGATGCAAAAATAAAATAAAATAAAAAATAAAAAATCACAAGATATATAGTGTATATTAAGTGTACGTGGTGCTCTCAACTCACATAAGAATCTCTCACACAAACTTTCTTATGGATACACAGAAGTAGAAATCTACACAAGACACTCATGAAAGAATAAATAAATGCTTTTTTAGTAAGGGAATTGAGACCTAAGTCATGAAATGGAACTTATGTTCATAGATAAGTATTCTTATTTCTCTTTGTTTAGTATGGGAATTGAGACCCCTGATATTCCATATTGTGTGAATTTATGCAGCGAAAGATAATATGGAAAGTTTAAGTTTTTAAGAAAAAGATTAAAATTTGTGTCTTTCTATTTTAATCAGCTTTACTTAATTTGACAATTAATCAATTAATCACATGTAAGTAAAGTAAAGCAAAGCAAATAGAGTTTGAGAGATGACACCATGATTTTTAGTGAGGAAACCCCAATTGGTAGAATAAACCAATTGTTGTGGAAAAAACCTCATAGACTGTGCAATCTAAAGTAAACCGATTCACTATGTTTGAAACAAAATACAATGGACTTTGACTTAGGCTCACACCCTATCGTTTTACCAAAAACCAATTGCTGACAATCTTCTGGCTTTGCGATGTCCCATCCAACAGCTATTGACTCTAGGCTTACTCTTGATCTATGTAAAAGGATTGCTGGTAGATCAAACAACACTCCTCAAATACTTTGACCCTTTCAAAGTGTAACGCTTCACCTCTATTCTTCAAGATCTGAATTTGATATAGAAGAAATAGATTTGTTTCTCTAATCGTTGTCGATGCAATATTCAATAAATTTTGAACACGATCAGGATTTGAACAACACCCAAAAATCACTCTTGTGTTTATGTGTGTGTTCAAGAAATAAAAACAGAAAAATCAGATTTGTTTTTTTGCAAAATATCTCTCAAATAGGTTTTTAATAAATAGAAATACAAAAGCTGTATCAACCTAGATAAAAATCAAGGTTTATATAGAATTTCAAAGACCCAGATATGCATAGGAAAAGGTAAATTTCGTGCATAGAACTTTTGGAAATAATTCTATACCAAGTAGGAAGTTTAGACAGAATAGGAAATAACTAAAATCCTAAACTGTATAACTTCTTGAACCGGTAGCCAAGTTGGAACCGGTTCCCAAAGGACAAAATGTAATTCTTCGAAGCACAGGATCTTGAATCGATAGCCAAGGTTAGTATCGGTTCCTAAAGGACAGATTTCTGAGGAAAGGTTTAAAACTTAGAAAAATCCCTGTTTTGGTAACTTCGAATAACATACCAAATATGTATAGTGTCCTAAGTGGGAAACAACTTCCTAAAGTATTGTTCATACCTTTCTCGTAGATCTTAGTTTATCAAATTTGAACAACTCTTCAATTCCGTAGCCGATCTCGATATTGATTTAGTAACTTAAAAATTACAACTCAATTGGACTTGTTTTGACACCGAAATTAGCCAATTACAAAAATTATATCTCACACATATAGTTGTAATAATCATTGAGAAAAAACTAATACTACCAAATCAGGGAAGCCCAGGGCATATATGCATGTTAGAGTTGGTGTTACTCTTTTTCTGCTTTTTATTTCTTTTCTTTTTCTCCTCTGTAACACACCATCTTCATTCTTGGTACCAGCAGCTGACATGGTTGTATCACCAGTGTTTTCACTAACTGCAGTGGAAGCAATGGTTGAACACTGAAGAACCCCTTATTATGTGTATATGAGCACCAATCATATCTCATCATATAAATTAGAATATAACCATTTCAGTGGATTCTACCAGTATGTGGTAGTGTTTAATTACTTAGTGATACCATGTCATTGTTAGAAAAAATTGAACCGGTCACCTTCATGTGCATTATCTTTAGAATTAATGTACAAATAAGAGCAAAAACAATTAGACTAGCTTGCGAACAGAATAAAATATAAAGAATAACGCTAACATGAGGTTTCTCATTAGCTCTCTATCTATTTGTTATGATGATGTACAATTATTGAGGCATGAATCTAGCCGTTTGATAGAGAATTGTATGACAATTATATAGTCAAATTTTTGTCATTTCATTTACAATAGATCACATGAATCAGTCAAAGTTTTCTTTTAACCAAATTATACTATTAAGCTTGAATGTCTCATATAATTTTATTTTATGGTATTTTGAACTCGTTTTTTCTTTTTTTCTTTTTTCAGTTTTTTTCGGTGAGATCAATTTAATATTGGCTTCGTGATGATATAATTTGTGCATTATTTTCTTTGCTCAAAGTATATTAATTTACTTATGATAAGTACCATTATGAGAGAGAATTCATTGTAACAGTACTCAAATATAAATTTCAGTCACATGAAACACAAGATATAAAATTTCTCTAAAATTTTACTTTGATCAGAGTTGAAATGAGCATTTGATCGTTGAGAGAAGTCGGTTAGTTGTCTTTCACAAGAAAAATTAAAAATAAATTTTCCATCATGGACTTGATAATTTAATTAGTCAAGATTGACTGAATATGAAATGCGGTTGTTGATTCCACCATGTCGATCATGAATATGCCATCATGAATTGTTGATACAATGGAGACTAGGAAATGAAAGTCTTTTCTTTTTCAAATATGGACTTAATAATTTAATTAGTCAATATTGACTGGATATGAAATAAGGTTGTTGATCCATCATGGATTGTTGTTGTTACATTGGAGTCAAAGGAAATGAGGGCCAGTACTTCTACATTTCATATTGCTGTTCTACGGCATGAATTTTCCATCATGGATTGTTGATTGGCTGACATTTTTCTTCTTATATATATATATATATATATATTGCACAGCTGGCAAACAATAAACAAAACTTTATTTTTGAATTCCCTTCTTGGAGTTGTGTGGTATTCACATGTTACGAAACTTCCACTTGATTTAGAATAAGTGACCATTAGGTTTGGTTATTAAATTTCTCTTTCTCAGGGTAATGTGCCTATCCTAGGCTGTCTAGTTTAAAACATTAATATGAGCTGTCTGGATTAATAACTCTCTCTTAAATGAAAAATTATTTAATTTTATTTAGTATCATACTTTCAAAGGAGCAAAATGAGCGGTTCAATATAATTTTCTTTCTAAACAAAAAATATAAAATTAACCTTTTAATATTTTATTTTTTAATATTACCATTAGAAAGAGGAATTTTCCATCATGGATTGTTGATAGGCTGACATTTTTCTTCTATATATATATATTGCACTGCTGGCAAACAATAAATAAAACTTTATTTTTGAATTCCCTTCTTGGAGTTGTGTGGCATTTACGTGTTATAAACTTCCACTTGATGTAGAATAAGTTATTATTAGGTTTGGTTTTTAAATTTCTTTTTCTAATGGTAATGTGCCTGTCCTAGGTTGTCTAGTTCAAAGAATTAAAAGATTAATATAAGCTAGCCGGATTTTAAAATGACGTTCTCTTAAATGAAATTTTTTTAAATTTTATTTAGTATCATACTTATAATTCACGAGAAGGGTAATTCAATATAATTTGAGATTTAGACGAAAAATATAAAATTAGTTTTTTAATATTTAATTTTTTAAATATTAAATAATAGTTAATAATATTTATTTAAAAATCGTCCTTATTACCCTTTGAGATGCAAATTACAAATTAGATTCATAAAGAATTTTCTTCTCACACATTTTATTATCATTATGAATCAACTCATTTAGTTGTTCATTTGTTGAGTTTTCACCTAATTTTTGTTTGTTATATTTTTATTATTAGTTATAACAAATTTATTAATAATAGCTCATTTTTTAGATTGAATTAGTTTTTCTATTCTTTTCTTCTTTTTAGGTTTTTCATATCTGAATTCATACTTTTTAATAGACATATTTATAATATAAATAAATAAGATTACAACTAACAAAAACATATAATTTTATAATAACAAAACTAAAAAGAGTACAAAATAATTTAAGTTAAAGAACAATAGAATCTGATGTTAAAAAAATCAGAGCCAATGTTCCAACAAATTCTTCAAAATTTTTATTTCTATTTTATAAAAAATTACTACCTTCAAATCTTTAAAAATTCCCAAAATACCAAAATATGTGAGAATAAAAGTGGGTTCAAATAGAGAAGTGAGATTGTAATGAGTAGACGAGAAAAAAATATTGTGAGAGAGGAGGCCGATGTAGAGTCTGCTTGATATATTTTTAGAGGAAACCTGACTTTCCGAGATCATACTCATATTTTTGCAATAAAGACTTTCTAGTTTCCCAGACTGAAAAAGATAGTAAATAATGTATTTTCTGTTCTAATTAAAGAAGGCTAGTGACTTCTAGCTCTCCATGTATTTTCTTCTTTAAATATGTCCATGATCTTGCTATTTAGTATTTACTAGCTGCCAACATCACCTTAAAAATATGTCACGAACTCCAAGCGGCTTTAAGAATTATCAAGAAAGTTTAGAAATGAAAATTGCATCACCATGAAATCAATAATTTAATTAGTCAATGTTGACTGAATATTGTATGCATCAATAGTGATTTAAAAATATTCTCATGCATTCACACTGACAATGGATACATATCTTCTTTGAAGGCTATGTGCAAATTCTTTAAATTGTGCTTGTAATCATCTGTATCTCATCTCAAGAACAACCTAAAGGAGGACATGGAATTCAATTTAAAGAAGCTTTGGGATTTAAATAACCTCCGAAGCGACATTATCTTAAGCCTTTCACTGCTAACCTTCTTAACTTTTGTCGCCCCCTTGAGAAAGCGAACAGCAAAAAATTGGATAATCTTGTCCCTCTGGACGGCATACCTGAATGCAAACTTGGTTGTGAACTATGCTGCTGGGATCATCTTCCACAGCCAATCCGACACTTCTGTTGCAGTTAATAATAGAGACCTTCAGGCATTTTGGGCTACCTTTCTTCTGGTACACCTTGGTGGCCCGGATACCATAACTGCTTTGGCTCTTGAGGACAATGAGATTGGGGTCAGGTACTTGCTTGTGCTCATAACCCAGTTTATGGCTGCTGCTTATGTCTTCATTCGCACATTTCACATTAGTAAGCTATGGATGCCGACAATGCTCGTGTTTGTGGCAGGAATGATCAAGTACTATGAGCGGACACGTTCTCTGTATCTTGCAAGCTTGGGTAATTTACGGGAATCCATGCGAGGTTGTCCTGACAGTGGGGATGAGACGGCTGACTTGCCCTTGTACACGGAAGAGATAGTTGTTGCAGAAGGGATTACGGTCATGCTTAAAAATGCCACTGCATCTCGAGATGGTGATTTGACCGAGTTAGCGTTGATGCAGCATGCTTATTATTTTCTTAATATTATAAAGGTGATGATTGTTGATTCCTTTTTAAGCTTCACCGTGCCCATTTATAGCCGAGACTTCTTCCTTACAAGAAGTGCAGAAGATGCTTTTAGAATGATAGAGCTTGAACTGAATCTCATCTATGAGTTTCTCTACACCAAGGTGAGTGTGGTGCATTGTAAATCAGGCTATACGTGCAAGTTTGTTTCCTTCATTTCAGTTGTTGTAGCCCTTGCCCTCTTCTACTCCGTGAACAAGCAAGGATTCCCAAGGCTTGATGTTGGGATTACCTATGTCTTGCTCTTGGGTGCCATTGCCCTAGATTTAATTGCTATCACCATGCTCGTTTTCTCTAACTGGGCCATTATTGCCCTCATCATGATACCGCGAGCTATGTCTGACGATAATTCCTTTTATGCTAAAATGCTTACCTTTTTACTGTCTATCAAGAAGGCAAGGAGGATTTCCTACTCAGCAAACCGTCGTCCCGACCGTACGCTGAGGCTAATTCGGCGATTCTTGTACCCCGCAGGGTGGTCCGAGTCTGTCTCGCAATTCAACTTGATAAATTACTGCATACAACACGTTCAAAATGGATGCAAAAACTTATCCATTTTTTCCGTCTTACCGGCTTTTTAGATAGACTCGAGTATGTGGAAAGGGTACCATTCACCAGAGAGTTAAGAGACTTCATCTTTAACGAGATGCTAATTAAAGCTAAGGTGGTGAATAATGTAGCCAGTGGCACGGAGATCTATTCGGAGAAAGGGAAAGGGGTTCTTAGTGATGAAGCTAGCACAGCTGATGATGTAGCAGGTGGCACGGAGATCTATTCGGAGAAAGGGAAAGGGGTTCTCACTGATGAAGCTAGCACAGCGGATGATGCAGCAGGTGGCACGGAGATCTATTCGGAGAAAGGGAAAGGGGTTCAGAGTGATGAAGCTAGCACAGCGGATGATGTAGCAATTGCCAACAATATCTATTCAGCCAGAGGGGAATGGGTTCTTCGTCGTAAAGGTCACGTCAATTTACTTCCTTATGTTGAAGTTGAAGTGGAATATGATAGAAGCCTTATATTGTGGCATATTGCAACTGAACTCTGCTACAGTGACGGCGAAAGTAATGCTGCTGCTGGTACAGGGGAAGCTGGCAAATATCGTGATTTTTCAAAGCTCCTGTCAGATTACATGTTATATCTTCTAGTTATGGATCTACCAATGATGTCTACGGTGGCTGGTCATGCGTACTTAAGATTCGTAAACACCTGTGCTGAGACCAAGAAATTTTTTCAGGGACAGGAACAGACTGGAGCCTATCCAAATATCTTTGATGAACAGATAAGAGCCTGCAGAACTATTCTGTCTGTTCAACTAAAAGTTGACTTCATGCCACATATTAACAGAAAATCCGTGCTGTTTGATGCACGCCTGTTGGCCAAAGAGCTACAAGAGATGGACCAAAAAGATAAATGGGAAACAATAAGCAGTGTTTGGGTAGAATTACTGTCTTACGCTGCAAGTCGTTGCGGAGCATACACCCATGCCCAACGACTGAATAGAGGTGGAGAGCTCATTACTTTGGTTTGGTTATTGATGGTGCATCTTGGCTTGCATGTGAACACCACAACCCATCAGCATATCTCAGGACCGTAGTTGAATCAGTATGCTGTAATAATCCATTGAAGATGCCTTTTGCTGTAGGTTTGGTTTGGTTTGGCATGCATTTTGTTTTAAACGTTTTGTGTTTTTTGTTAAAGTAGAAATAATGTTTTTATTCTTTTTTTTTTTTTTTTTTTTTTTTTTTTCTTTTGTTAGTTAAAGTAGAAATAATGTTTTTGTTGTAGAAGTGTTTTAGAAAAAATTTAGAAAACAATGTTTTAGGGTTGTTTTTAGCCCGTGTTGCCCTATTATTATGGTTTTGGATTATGAACAGTTGTCAAAATAAGAAAAAATAATTTTTTAATATTTTAGTTTTGAACAGTTGTCAAAAATAATTTTTTGTTACCAAAATTGACACTGTAATACATGCCAAACGGAACCTAATCCAATTATAATAATTTTCATTAAAATTATAAGTACAACAGCAATATTTTCTTTCAAGAGAAACCCCAAACTTATAATATATCTATCATATAAATATAAACAACCCATCAATTTTAAAAGCGCGTCCAACCCAGATTAATTTCTCATACAACATTTTCCAATCACAATCGCGTCTCAACTCATCACAAAATAGTAAGCTTAAAAGAATTATTTAAAAATTAACAGCTAACGTCATCCCTATCCCCTTATAGTAGCTACAACATTTTTGTCCAAAACCATTTATCAATCAGGGTGGGGTGTTAAAAAAAAAAAAAAAAAACACATTCTCAAATAAGTACATGGCCACAATCAATCTTTCCATAAAATACCTGCCATAAGGAAAATAGGGAGTTAATTAAAATATGATTGTTAACAGAAAGAAGCATTAATATTCCAACTCCATTATAATCCTAATTCTTGCACAAGACTTGTATTAAGTTGATCATCTATTATGATGTTCGATCAAAAAACACGGGCAATTCGAGTAGTCTCTGTGGTGTATAAAAGATAGAACATGAAAAAAAATTGCTAACTACTTCTATGAGAGCATCAACATACTACAATGGTCCGGTAAAAGAATGAAAATGAACTTTCAATTCCAAACAATGAAAATGGAAAGATGATCAAACAGCTTCAAGCTAAGAACTAAATCAATGCACGTAATCTACTAGTCACAAACAATATGATTCAAGAGTATTAATTAGTCTATTGAAAGTTAACATCATCTTCTACAGAACATATATAGTGCACAAAGGACTATCATCTAACGTATAATACCTCTGACATCAATTCCATCCAAGAACATATGCAACTTATTGCCTTTATATTAGCATCTAGTCACATCGATAATCATCAACTCACACTTTGTTCAAAAAAAAAAAATTATTATAGGCAATTTTAGCCCAACCCATAAAATAAAATAAAATTACTAGTATTAATTCACTCAAAAATCCACCCCATTAACAATTTTTGAATCCACCCTTAATTTCGTATGCATATCAAGACAAGCCTAAAGGATATTAGCACCAAGCTTTCATTAACCAGTAATGTATTGATTTTTAACAGGAGCTAGCTCGGGAGGCAGCTGCCCCCAAAGTCTATGGTGGCTCTGCCTTTTTGTATGTAATGTGGACAAGTAAAATAATTGCTCATAACAACTACAATTCTAATGTGTGTAATAAAATATTTATGAGAATAATGTGGACATGTAAAATAATTGCTCATAACAATTACAATTCTAATGTGTGTAATAAAAGGTCACACATTTTGATACTCCATTTTTTTTTTCTTTCTGCGGAGCATCTAAGATGGACTACGAGCGGCAAGGACGGACCTACCTTGGACCCAGTGGGGCAGACCCCACTAAATGTTTGCTAAAAACCCATAAATAGACATACTTACACAACACCAAAAGTTACAAATTTTATTTAAATAACTTCATGAAAACTGTTTGATAACATCGAAATATATGATTACAACCTCATCACTAAAAGCTGATATGAACTGATCAATTACATTTAGGTGATCTATTGGGAGACAATACAAATAACCCTAATCTTGTTATGAACTATTAAATTAAAGACCTTTAATTACACATGTACTGTAGTAAATTACAGGATCTGATTAAAGATATAAAAAAAAAAATGTTCCAATAAGCATGCCATTTTGATTAAAACTAGTAAATAAATTCAAAAAATCAACCAATTAGAAGAGAGAAGTCACGAACCAAAAAGTGGTTATGCGAGGGGTCAGGGCCTTGACCAGAGCTGGTGCTAGCTATTCCTCTTGGGAGGAGGCAGCTGCAGCTTCAATTTTTAACAATCATGTATCAAACCCATGGTGGGTTGGGTGTGCACCATTTTATATCCAACCACTTTAATGTCCCGTTTGGTTACAAGCCGATGATATTGGCAATACTACATATTATTCATAAAAAAATCATATTACATCTAATCGATGTGGGATTTGGAACTCCTCTTGGGACTTGTCCGTTAACGGCGACAATGGGGACTTCGAGCAAAGTTTGAAACCCATTTTTGAGTTGGTCTTGGAGAATTGGAAAATGGAGGTTTGAGGGGTTATGGTGGTGGCGGTGATGGTGATGGTGGGTTTGGAGACTTAAAGTTACAGAGGACGGTCGAGAGTGGGCTTTTAGGAATTTTGATAGGAGGGTAAATTTGGAATGTGACCGCCATTGTTGAGGTTCAGATATGAAAACAAAGGTACGTTCAGAGGATGCGGGGAGGGTTTTGGCATGGAAGTAAGTAGCATTGGCCTATGTCTTGGACGCGAGGATATGAAAAGAAATAGAGAGGGGAATAGAAGTAAGACTATCTCCAATGCAAAATGCCACTTTTGCATACCAAATCTATATTTTGAGAAGAGTTACAGTATCAAAATGCTATATTTTAACAATTTTGTTCCAATGGTGTATTTCATCCAAAATAATATTTTTTGACACAACAACCATTATTTTTCAACTGTCATTCCCAACTACAATTTTCTACAACCATTTTTTTTTTTTTTTTTTTGAGTGTTTGTATTTTATATAGCTTATTTACCTTATTAAAAATAAATAAATAAAAACACTGATATATATATATATATATAAACACAACAGACATATATATACACACAACACTGACATATATATATATACACACACAACACTGACATATATATATATATATACACACAACACTGACATATATATATTTATAAGCACAGCTGAAATATATATATACACAGGCACAATACCAAATTGGCAGCACATGCAAGAGAGAAGAGAGAAGGAAGAAAGTAATAGCAGATTTGGTAATAGCTATATGTTATGTTATATTTGGCACAACATTTCGGAAAATTATATTTTGGCAGCTCATTTGACATGTCATTGGAGAGCCCATTTTAAGCCCACATGTTATATTTTGAAAATAGCAGTCCATTGGAGTTGCTCTAAGAAAGGGAAGTGGTGTGTGCGGAGAGGATCCATTCCCAAAAGGAAATTGGGTAGGACATGCCATGTAATTATTAATTTTATTATTATTTTTAATCATGTCATGTAGATTCATGTCAACGCAAATCTAAGATTATTTTTTCATTATTTTTTGGAATAAATTTCTTCACATATCACTTTCTTAATTTTGCTATTACAGAATATGTGTGGTTGGACCACATCAACAGTAAGCACTACTCACTGATGAGTAGACATATCTTGTCCTTAATATTAAATTCCCCTTATTAACTTAGTGATTTATTTGGATTAGACATGGTACCAAAATCAATTTGAACATTGGTATAGTCATCAAATTGAATCCAATTTGATTCAAATGGAGTTTTAAAATGATGTGTAAAGTATCAAATTAGTTTTACTAATTATACTTTTATAAATAGTCGAATAATTTTTAATTTTTTGTGCAACGTTAAATTGGTAAGACCACTAAAATAATTGATGATTTAGAAATAAGTAGACTATCTACAAATCAAATAAAAAAATATTTAAAGAAGAAAATTGAAATATTAGAAATAGTTATAACACTATAATATATATACATACTAATG